CWSYKGKAYATCTGTCCTAACAAATGCACTTAGATTYCATAATAGATCTCCATATTCCATACAGATATGAATTTCTTTCAGAATCTTATAAATTTGGGCTGTGATCATCTCTAGGCTGCAAGAAACCCCAGAACACCCTTTCGTGTTGCATTTAAAATGTATTTTTGCTTGACTTGTGAGGATTCTTTTCTTCATTCCCTCCACATTCCTTAGGTTTTGCAGTGCAAGTGAAGRTGTCACCCACTCAGAGGTCACATAGAATCAGTAAAAATTCCTTGTCAGCCTCCTATTGATTGGAACACAAGGAATTTCAAAGAGGCACAAAGCCACCCCTCCCAACTTTTACATCATTTTTAAACCAGCACATTCAGATGATTCCCCCCCACCTTTTTCCTTTATTGAACCAATGAAGTGTTTCTGCTACACTGCAATAATCAGTACAAACCACATGATGCAGCAGTTCCAAAAATAGAACTGCCTGCAGAACACGCAGCTTGGCATTGCTTCCAAGAGGAGCAGGGAAGGAATCCAGCARCATCTCACTTTTATGGGAATTTATGGCAATTCTGGAGTCGTTTTTCATACCTGATGCTCCAGGAGTAGCAGCAGCTGCTGCATCCTCCATGAGATCTCCATCTTCCAGCTCCATGGTACTGCTGTACTCCACATCATTCTCTCCAGACCTGAGGGGATGGGAACAGGAGAACACAACTGTTAGTTTTCCTCAGCCCTTGGTAAACATTACAGCACAAACCTCAAAAAACAACATCAAATGCTGTAAATTGTATTTCCTGCATTCCAAGCTACCCAAACTGAACAAATGAAGTGTAGTAATTAAATGACTGACTCATTACCAAGAGGCCAAAGTGCCACATGTACCTAGACTGCAAAATCTGATCCTGCACACTCCTGGATTTACAAGTGTTGCAGCACATTGTCACATTTTAATGAAGATCCGAGGATTTAACATCCTTGAATTCCCTGATTTAAGGACCTGTCCTCATCATCACTCTCCTACCRCTACAACACTTCCCAATACCAGACCACTATTTTGTGACAGTGCTGAGACAGATTTCTTAATAGTGTTTTGGGAAAGAACCTTCACAGATTATCACTTGTCAAAGACTGAATGCAGCACTAATGTAAATAAAGAGATCAGAAAGACAGTAATTAGCTGGCCAAAAATTCAACGTTTAGCACTAATTCAGAGAGTTCATCTTGTTCCCAGKATAGGAACCACCTCTCAAATCACACTGGAATCCCACACACCCCAGCAAATTACTCAGTTTCCACCAGAATTAGGATGATTACCCTGGGTACAAGGTACAGGATGATTTGAAAGGCATTTCAAATAACTCACATAGTCTCTTCATCAATATCATTTTCTTCAGTGTTACTGGTTGCTGTTGAACTTGCTGAAGAGCTGCTGCCATCAAGGTGGTTYACCTCATCTTCTCCAACAAGATCCATATCCAGGTCACCATCTGAGAGCTCGTGCTGCTGCAAAAAGAAAAGTTTTTTGATCAGGAAACATTCAGCTGCACCTTGATACATCCCCAAAAGCTATGAACACTCTATATCTCCAGAGTCACACTATCATACAGGACTGAGGAGGCTCTCAAAGCACATTAAAGCAGGGAACAAACACAAATCAGATTTTTCAGGTGCAGCTCAGCAGCTTTTTTGTGGTTCTGTTCTGGAACACCTCTCTGGAGTCACCTCTCACTCACAGCTTTCAAKTGTGTCATCTCCTATTTCCACAGCACGGATAATACACCTCATTTACAATTCACAAGYTCCCCTATGTTTCTATAAACAGAATTCCTACATTGAAGTCTTCCTGCTGAGTCTTCTCTTCCTCCTCTTCCTTGTTCTCCCGTGCTAATCCCGGAGCAGTGAAATTCTCCAGCAGTGCCTCAATGCTTTGTCCAGGTTTCTTGGACCTTGTTTCTGAGCCCTCATCATTCTGGGGACTGAGGTGAGTGTCTGGAGGGGARACCCCTCGGGATTTCTGGGTCCGGGACAGTTCGATCGCGAGCCTCTAAAAKATCACAAAAATAAAAAAGACAAAATGGAGCAGCAGCATCAAACCAAGCACCTTTGCTGATTTACAGATACACTCTAATGGTGATTTTACATTCACAAACATCCCACTTACTTCTTTCAGATTATTTATTTGCTGGATATAACTTGTCTGAGCTGCTTCCAGTTGAGCAATGTACCAGTGCTGATCCCGRCACTTTTGGAAGAAGGTTGGTGAACGCACTTGGAACCTTCAAAGGAACATTTGAAAAGGGTTTTTTTGGGGGGAGTTTGTTTGGTTTGGATTTTGGTTTTAATGTCCCTCCTTCCATTCGAAAAGCCCAGCAAAAAAGCCTTAAAACGTGAAATGTAGTGAAATAAAGAGACAACAGATCCTTGTGGATTCAGAGTCCTGAACACCCTGGCTGGCCACAGTGAGYTCTGTAAGAGAGACTCACAGACTTTATTCCCAAAGTTCTCACTAAAACTGTTTCTCAAGTGGAGAAAAAAGCACCTTTTTCCTTTAATTCTGGCAGCTACAGGTCTCTTACCCTTATTAGTGCCAGGAGAAGCTACTCCTCAAATAAAGACACCCTTAAAACTTGCACAGCTCCCTTTGCCACATTTCCTTCTTGAAAATTTCTGCCAATGAAATCCATTTGGGACAAAGCACATCACCAATAATTCAAATTCAGCCTGGTTAATTATTTCCTATTTCAGGAGCAGATGTGCTGATACTTTGAAAGGAGAGAAAGGAAGCCCCACCTGAGGATCACGGTGTCGTTCTGCCGGTTCAGGTAGCCCTCGTTGGCCAGCAGGTCCAGRCGGAAGAATCTGTTGTAACCCCAACATTCCCCAACCTCAAAATCAGAGGCAAACTCACGAATGATGTTTTTGGTGGGGTCRTTGGTGGACTGGTGGACCATTTCCACACGGTACTCGTACCTGCCCAGGGGAAAGTCACAAGGATTAGGACCAAAAGGTGTTGGAATTGCTGAGTGGGTCAGGTTGAAGAGTTGCACTTCCCTGCTCAGCTGAATGGGTGAATCTGGCTTAAAATTTTATTCAACTCTTAAATAATAAACTWGGAAAGCAGGAATAGGGAGTAGACAGAACTCCAGGACTGAACTACCACACTGACACTCTTATCAGTTGCTTTGCCAGCTTCCTTTTTATCTCAAGAAAGCCACTGAGTAACAACTTTAAAATATTATCTTTGTGCCCGATTTAAAGCTCAATGGACAACAAAAGTCTCACCATTCTTTTCCARAGGATTCTGCATTCTCTGCAAWCACTGAAAAACCCCAACATCTGTTYTTWTTGSAGGTTTGCTTACTTGGATGTCTCTGGCAATCCAGCAGACAGCTCCAGGAACACAGACAGGTAATAGCCCCGAACTACTCCATTTCCATCCTTGAAATAAAATTGAGAATTTGATTAAAAATTGAATGCAAAAAGCAGAAAAAAATTAAAAAACCAAAATGCTTTGATATAAAAGGCTTAGAAAAGTTTGGAAAATAGCTTCAATCAACAGTGGATTTGCAGCAGGAATCTACTTTGGATGTTACAGTTGTGATTTTTAGTCTTCAGTGACCTCCTATCATAACATGAATCAACAAGAAGCACATACAGTGTAATATTGGTATCTCAGATATAAATCTCAAGACAAAGCTTTCATTACTCTATTAACACTTTAGGGGTTTGATTAAATGGAAGTCTGAATAGACAAACAATGTATCAGAAAAACATTATTTCAGGTTAAACATTAGTTCTGAGATATTTTACATACAGCCACATTTTAAAGCTACCTAACTTTTGAGAAAAGAGCAATTTGTTCAGAAATAAATCCCATGCAACATGAAAAAGTTAGGGCAGTTAACTGAGAAACAGTATTAGAGTCACCAGAAGTCAAGAAAAAAACAGCAAAACCTCCATCACACTCACCTGAATCAAAGATGAAGAATGGCTCAACTTGAATCCTCCAGCTTGAAGAAACATTTCAACTTACCATYGAAAAAATAAATTTTAATGCCTTCTGACAGCAGAGCTCAGGCAGCCAATCCTGAATTTACAATACTCTGGAAACTTCCACACAGTTTCACGTCTGCACTGCCATAATCCCCTTCTGAGCATCCATGGGTTTAATTTATGAAGTTGATTCTCCAAAGATGCCACAAAAATCACTAAGAGCTGATGCTCCACCACCAAATTCCTTCTCCACATGGCTGCAGGAGCAGCACTGACCAGAGCAGGGAATGCAGGAAGATCCCACCCTGGGGGTCAACTTTCCAATATGGACAAAGCTTCAAAAATCAGAATATTCATCCCATTTAATGGGTATGAGCAAAATACACATTTTAATTTAAAATTTAAAAATTTTAATGTCCACTTTGAGAGCTGGAAGCAGAGGCAACAACTAATGCTTGGTTCTCCTCCCACCTTCCCCACTAAGTATTATTCAAATTTACTCTAGATTTCAATTCTGTAAGGAACACCTGCAAAAATCACTGAGATATAAAAATATCTATTAAATCCCATGCTGTATTAGCAGGACCCATTTTCAATTCCTTTTAAATTAACCAGACTATGCTGAAAGTCCACGCTGGAGATCTGGAGGCAGAGAGGGAATTCTCCAATGGTTGGTGCACAACTCTACATAATCTTACAATGTTCTTTTCATATACAACAGGAGAAAAACTGATAATTCCTTACTGGAGAAGCTGGGAATGAACTGGGGTGGGATAACAAGTCCAGCTGAAGGTAAAACTCACCGGGTAAACTTTTAATCTCCAGCACAGTCCTGACACCTGCAGGGGAGGGCTGTACACRGGATCTGCTCGCTGGCGCAGGGTACTGGTGAGAGAGGAGGAAAACTGTTGGTGTTGTACAGAAAAAAACCTTTCTTGGAACCTTGCACAGGCAACTGCCTCCCTCATGGAAAATATTTTGAGTGGGGTTAATTGTTYACATAGTAAACAAGACATTTTTAATGGAATTCCTATAGTTTAGTCCAGATCTCACMGTTTTCTGCAGAGATTATTGTGTTTTAAGTAACACTACTGAAGCACAAAAGAAACAGAAGGAGGTTTCCCATATTTACAGTAATTTAAGATYCATTCTCACCTGAAGTTTTCCAAGACAAATGTAGTTGAGTCATAGGCTGGAACCAATTCACTGTGGGGGAAGGAATAAATACATTAYATTTTGAACAACATGGCATCAAAAATCCCAACTTTTGCAATCTGTAGAAGCATTTTAGATTATTTAGGTCAACAGAGCACTGATATTCACCAGGACTACACTGGGCAATTGCAGTATAATTCCACTCATAAGCTTCCTATGGAGGAGATACCTTGGTCCATTGGAAAATGAATATTCAGATTTAAACCAAGACACAAAACCATTTTTTTCTAGACGAATTCTGGAGGCTTCTCTGACTTTACATATTTTTGAGACATTTTTCCCTCAGAATGCAGCACCAGCAGCACTCTCCTGATGAAGAATTGTGCTATTAAGTGATTTTGGCTGTGCATTCTGAATTAAGGTGACCTGCAGAGGCATCTCATGAGAGCYTGGCAATTATGTACTGAATGACCCAATAATAAGAGAAAAAAGGACAAATCAGTAAACTAAGTGTAAAAGAGAGAAAAAAAAAACCCCTTATGAGCTGGAACCTACTGTCCTGACTCCCAGCAGGGACTACAGACATAAAATAAGCCCTGCTGGCACAGAAAAGCCTACTTGCAGCACAGGTTACTACAAGGAGTAAGTTAGGAGGAAACTCTCCTCTCAGATACTTTRAACATCTTTTTAAACACTGAACAAACAGAACAGAAATGCAACACCTTGTGAAGTCWGGGGGGACAGGAGTGGTGACAAACGAGGCCATGGGTTTCCGATGGACCTGCTGGAACATCATCAGGATCTCAGAACTTTTGGATATCAGCTCACTCTTGCTGCAGGACCGTAACTATACAGGAAAAAAAAGAAGAAAAAAAATCCTTAGCTCAGTAAAAATCAAAGGTTTTGTCCACTTTTGTTTTTAAACAACAAAATTGCATGTTTATCACAGCTTCAGAAAGTTTCCCCACAACACAATGGAAAATGGAGCTTGGAAGTTTTGTGTTTTGGTTGTTTTGTTTTCTGCAATTCTACAATGAAAATTGCAACAACTACTGTGTTTCTCTTAGGTTAAACTAATTTATATAGACCCATACATATATATATAGAAATGCTGCTATTAATCCCTGTACTAGTTTTTGAAGCAACAGAACACTTTGGAGTGTTTCTAGAAGGCACACTTGTTTTTAAGAAGAAATTGTGCAACCTAAGGTCACTTCAATGAAGAGATAGCCTCCAGAAATATTCATCAATTAACAGTTTTAAAATAAAAAAAAAATAAATAAAGGCCAGCTGAGGAGGGATCTAACACATTCTTTCATCTCTTTTTGTAATCACCTGATGTTCTACTTCTTGAAGCAGAGTTTCCAGAAGTTCSGTTTCTTGAGTGAGTGATGTCTTTTGACCTGTTTAAAGAAAAGACATGGTAAAACAACCCAAAACACACACTCAGTTTTTTAAGCAACTGTACTTTTTCACTTGAAGCTGTCCCAGAATATAGCAAGGTAAAGGATTTCTAAATATACCAAGGTTGATYGAGAAAGCATTAGAAAAGCAAGTCTACATTTTTAATTAGAGCTGTAGTGAAGAACTCATTAGAGGTTAAGCCAGTAATGAAACACTCTGTGTCCCAGAAATGATAGGTTTGTTGTTTTGGGGTTCTTTTTTGGACAAAAAGAAAAGCAAGTTTGACTCTTATCCAGACAAGTATCTCTTATATTMAAATTACACTAAAAGGAGTATCTATTACAAAAAACTAATTTGAAAAGTTTGAAAATTGCAAAGATGCAACATAAATTGAYGAACATAAATGACGGTGTAAAACCATTTTAGTTAAAAGGTACTGAACATCTTCCAGCCATGTGGGATAACAGTTTTCCACGTTATTACACAGGAGTTTTCAACAGWATATAATCAGGTTATGTCTAATTTAGAACTTATCACAGCAACCTACATCATTAACCAAAAGCTTTGCTCTGTGAGGAGTGAATTTGCTCATGACMAGACACTATGGAAGGAGTCATGCTCCCAGGGAAATAATTTTTCTCAGTGGATTTACACATTGTTAATATACTTCTCCCACTCCTCACAGAGGCCAATACCCACCCATCAAAGTGATGAGCTTGTTYTTGAGCTGGGTGTCGAGGCGGGCGATCATCATCTCCACGGCGTTGCGGATCTCCCGCACGCGCTCGTCCTTGGCGCTGCGCACGGCCTCCACGTTCCTCTCCTGCAATGGGGCAGGAAAAACATAAAAACCTTCACATGTCTGCATTTCCCACTCGTTCACACCTTGACTCCACTCTCTCACATCACCTAAGTCTCCCTAAATCCTTTGTGAGGAAAAACAGGAGTGTTGTTTTTGATGAGCTGCGTTCCAGACCGTTCCTGGAGCAGCCAGGATCCCTCAGCKTGCCCAAAGGTTAACTGGGAAGCTGAGCAACATTTTCTCATCTCACAGGGATTTGTCATGTGGGGATTCTTTAGTGTCAGATTTGTAAACATAGCTGTAAATTTTTCTTCTGCAACTTTAGCAGCACAGAAAAGTTATCTTTGTGGTAACAAGAATAGTGTGATAAAAATGGAAAAGTTCTTTGTGGTAACAAGTGATAAAAATAAAAATAAAATTAAAATAGTGTGATAAAAACCATATCCTTCTCCCTGGCCAGTGAAGACCATAAACTCTCAGCATTTCATTATCACCACATGGGCCACTTGTGTTTAAGCTGCATCTAAGCTGGAGCAGAGCAAATCTATGTGGCAAACTGAAGAACAGCACAGGAAAAAATAATACAGAAACTTGTTGAAAAATACCCTGATTTTATCTGCACAAAGACCACACATAATAAATGTAACAGAACATAAAAGTAATCCTTCCTGGGATACAAGAAACTCCATCAAATTGCTGGAATTTCCACTGAAACCACCTAAGCTGAATATATCGATATTTGGATTTTTGACACATTTACCCCACATGGAAAATAAAGGAGGTACACAAACAAATCTCTAACTCGTGAGCTGCTCATCCTGTAAATACATTTACAGTTTATTATCCTTAAAAAGGGMAAATAAGCTGTTAGAATRAAGCATTTTTAGCATGACAGAATGMACTTTAAGTGCTGACAAAAACACATTCAAAGAACTGAGCAACTCTGGCTTTTAAACAGCACACCCCAAAAGAAAATCTGTTCCCTAACTCTAAACCCAAATTGAAAATATTTTGACCTTTCTACATTTTATACAAAGAGTCAAATGGAAAAGTAAAAAACTCTCTTTCAATCATGGGATAATCTCACCACCATCTAACAGGTGCTACTTCCACTTCCCACTTGACAGTTATCCTTTGCTAATGGAATGCTACAGGAAAACTTCCTTACCACTTCCTGCACCAAACTGATCAATTCCATGAGTCTCCTCCTAAGCTTTGCCACTTCTTCRTTCACTTTTGTGACGTGCTGCTCGTAGATTTCTGCCAGTGGTTTAAAAGTATGTCCTCCATGCTGTTCAAAGAGAAAAAGGGGGAGGAGGAGGAGGTGGTGGTGAATATCAGAGCATCTCTTTTCCACTTTATTTCACTCCTATTAAATTCCTGAAAGAGAAGGGAAGAAAGCCTACGAGTGTATCACTCATTCTGGAAAAGTTCCAAAGCAGATTGTATGTAGGAAGTCTGTCTTTCGCTTCCTTTTGTAAGAAGTCATGAATTTGGCTCTCATTCCATCAAAGCTTCCTGTCAGGAGTTTTTTGGAGTCTCAAGTGTCCTCCAGAAATAAACTGCTTCATTCACTGTGCAATCCTTTAACAAATCAAATATTGATAGGTTTATTTTTATCATTATTATTAAGACACCCTTCCCAAACAAGGGCAGCAAACTGTTAACCACTTACATTCCAAACAGCAGCAGCTGTTTCTCCTTGAAATACCCAACTGGATGGATAAACATTGACGAATTGATGCTAGGGCTTTGGAGATATTTAATTTTCCTGGCCTATAATCCTGAATAACAAGTGTTATCTGTATTTTCTGAGCAAGACTTCTTCCTTTGCCAAAAGAACTTCCCCCACCACACAGAATTTGTCCAAGACATCATGAAGGTTATAACAAGGAAGGTGATTCTGAYCTGCTTTTGGCAAAAATTCTATTTCCTTCTCCAATTACAAACAGGAAGCAGCGTGTTTCACAAGCAATGTTAATTAATTATAAATAGATCTACAACTGCAGTATTTGCAAGGCAATCCTATACACAGAACAGCAGTTTCACAGCATTTCCAGCTCTTCAAAACCACTGTCAGACACAAAGTGTGAAGTCCCTCACACCACGTGTATTCGAGCAAGTCTCCTCTTACCATTCCTCCCCAAAGTGCACACTGGTGGCAGATRCACTTCTTGCAGGTCCAGCAGAAAACACTCAGCTTTTCATGATGGTTTTCACACCTTAAATCAAAACATACACAYATCACCAACAGAAAATAGCTGTGCATTTTCTACAAACTCAGTTTAACATTTTCACTTGTTTTGCTACATGATCCTGCAAGTAAAGCACAAAACATCTTTTGCAAGAAGAACAGTTACATTCAGTAAAAACCTTTTGTAAGATAAATGTTGCTTTCAGTATTCTTCCAGGAARCACTTCACAGAGATAGAGAGTACATTACTAAAACTGGATTTCTACCCCACAGATAAAGAATATGATCACAGAATCAACTTCAGAATTTTAGAAGTTCATGCTACACATTATCAAAATCCTAATTATAAACTGRCTAAAGTACTGCTTTTTGGGGGACTCGATGTATTTTCTTTGCTGTCAAACTGTGTTAATCAGTTTAATTTTCAGGACTAGGAGACATTTCAGAGAAGCTTCTCTGCTTTCATCTGTCCAACATACCAATTCAGCATCCCCAGTCTTACTGGGACTTAAAGACAAATGAGCAAGCCTTTAAATCTGTGGTTACTGAGAAGTGGAACAGAACAGAAATAGCAGCTTTCTAGGGACAGGCACTGAAGAGCTTTTTTCATTTCATGGAGTGTGACAAAACCCCCAAATTTTAGTCAGACAGTGAACACAACTCAGCTTTCCACCAAATTATCAGCTTGTTCCCCAATTCTAATAAGCTGCCTGCTCCTATAATGCAAACCACCAAACATTTCATGCAAAGAACACTCCATTTACTTGTCCTTTTCATTCTCTTCGTGCTTTGTGAGGTTGCAGAGCTGAAGTGTGTCCAGCTGCTGTGTGACCTCCTCTGCCCAGCGACAGTTGACGAGCTCTCGGAGCTGCAGGGGGGCTCTGCAAGAAGGATGGCACAGTTAGAGCAGGAATTTGGCTCCAGGAGCTAAAGGAGAAGCACTGGAGTGAGTTCAGTTCAATTCTACACTACCAGAAGAGTCACAGGCAAAAGAAAAAAGCAGAAACTGGACTAGTTATTCCAAGAAAAAAAAATTAAGTTGATTTGATCATTTGGGGTGAGCTGAGAACTGYATCCAGCAATGTTACACAGAATGGCTGCATGGGCACATCATACAAATTACAGGCATAAAAATGGGTACTTTTCATTCGGAAAACTTCTGGGCTCTGACTTTTGTAAGAAGAATATAAAGAATTCTAAGAGGAATTCCCTCTAGTTACTCTTATTACACCAGCACTGCTGTGTGCACAGCAGCATTATGTGGGAAGAACAAAGATCCTGCTAAGCTTGTCACAAAACTAGAACATACTTTAGAATATTATACCAGGGCCAATTTTTATAGAAACACCAGGCAGCTCTCAAAAAAAAAAATCATGGTTATAAATTTAGTGTAACCTGCACTGAAAAAGAGATTGATCAAAACAGGACAATCCACCCAATTTCTGATATTAAAAATACCTTACCTACAATGGGGGCACTGAGCTCTTTGTTCAGTCAGCCAACGCTGTGATGGAAAAAGGAAAAGCCTTTTTAAAGAGACTGGAAGGAAAGAACTGCAGGCAAATACATTCTACCATTAATTACGAGTTAACTTATTTTCATTACAGTCTTCCTGTATTTTTCCTTTTAACAAATTTTCAATTTAACTGTTCAACCACTTAGTCACAGAAGGAGCTGCTATTTGTGTCTTAGTAACAAGCAACTACTTGTCTTTAGATGTCAGAGATGCTTCAGTTAAAATTATACAGAGAATTYTGAGGTACCAAATATTGCATTAGAAACCACCCACCTGGCAGATTCCCTCAGACTAAAGAGGATGCTTTAATAAATGAAAGAAAAAGACACAACAAGCATCTTTTTCACAGTCTAATTAGCCTTCAAGGTAATTTATTTCYTCCTTTCAGGCTATTTATAGACAAATTAAATATCTGAGGTTCAGTGATCAAATCCACAAGGAGCCTGTGAATGTTTCTCTTCCAGAAAGCTCCAGGGACAAACAGCTGAGCAAAGAACTTCACCTGCCCACTACAACTCACAAGTGTAAAAGCTCAGCAGTTGATGGGTTTATATTTGTCAGCTCTCTACTACATTTAAAGAGTCTCATGAATAATCTCTCACCACCCAGCAACAATATGTCAGCTAAAATTCTTAATATGCAGCACGAATCCTTCACCTACAGCTCTTGTCAAGGCTTCCAGAGCCAAGGATGAATGTCTGTTCCAATTTCTGGAAATACTACTGGAGGTCTGGAAACCTCAGCTGAACCTCCTGCTGCTACAGCAACACAAAACAGCAGCTGGATTTGGATCTGGAGCGTGATACATTGGGAACCACGACCTTAACAAAGGAATGAAGATTCAGGTGGTGCCACAGACTCCCCTGAGAAAGATTTAGCCCCACCTGATCACACCACAGCAGACTTATAAAACATCTCCAGGACACAGGAAATGATGCTGTGACCTTCTCAGCTGCAAAGTCAGCATCTGATATCTGTCCCAACTTTTGTCTTCCATCCAGGCATCGCCAACTCTCAGGAGGTGCTAAAGAAGGGATCATTGTGTGTCTCTTCCTTAAAGCAATTATTCCAGATGGTGCCTATAATTAGCGCCACYGAAGGCAATGCACAGCCTGCCTACTTCTTCCTCAGGGTGTTATAAAAGGTTTTGAAAGGGAAACTAAAGGAGGGGAGAAAAATTAAAGGAATCCTTGGAACTCCAGGAAAAGAATGTTTTCATAAGCTCAGCTAGTTTTCAGTTCAAAGGTTTGAAAGAATAAACCAAACSAAGCAAACTCACCCGGATACAGCTGAAACAGCACAGCTTGGAGCAATGAGGGCACAGGCGGGCATCCCGCAGCTTCTCCATACAAATAAAACATCGGAACACCTCGGCAATGCTCTGCAAAGGGGGATTATCACTATTGTTAAACATGCTTCAAACACTGCAGAGCTGCATTTGTTTTCCAGGCACAGGGCCAGGTTTCACTTCAGTCCCATTCCAAACAGCGCATCTCTGAGATAGATAGAACCTAGACACCACAACTCTCCTCCTCAGCTTCTCCCACACTGCACCACCTCTCAGCACCCATTTTGTAACACTGCTCTCMTTCTTCGAGGAATAGTTTCTATTTGTCTTCTCTTTTTTGAAGTAAGCCTTTCTGGGGCCAAGATATTCCTGCTTGTGTTCACACAGGGYCGAACAGTTACCAGAAGAAATGATGTTGTACCTACAGACAGTGGACTGGCACTAARCTATTTCAAAATCATGATAAGTTCATATATGTCTTATACAGAAGAGAGGTTGAATTGAACTTGGTATTATTTTTGGTTTTATAAGACTTACATTCTTTTAATGTCTACCATTAGCACTAGCTCCACAAATTCTACACTCCCMCCACACCACTTAATCAATCTTGGGGGATAAAAATATTCCCCAAACCAAAGAGGTATTTTGAAAGCAACGTTTGCTTTCCATATTGATAATTTTTAACTGACAAGGAAGTTTTACATTCTTTGTTATAAAGGAGTTACAACACTCCTGGTTTTAACTGCGGAACTTCAGAAGGGTCTTCAGGTGGGCTAATTTTTCCCCCACAGCACTGAAATTATGAATTGGTACAGAAGCAAGACATCTTTAACGTTACAGAAACCACAGTATCTGCCTTATATTAATGACTTCTTTAACAGTTACAAGCCGTTGAAACGCACCATATGCGTTTACAGGAGGTGATCACAGCCGGTCTCTTCCATTCCTCCCCAGCCTGGCTATGACACAGCCCCCAGCAGGTGTTTAAGCTACCGGGTTACAGCCACTTCTGCGCCTTCACGGTGCCAAGGCGGCTTCCGTGTGCGCCAAGTCTCCATCCATCCATCCATCCATCCCCGAACCCATCCCTGGCTCCATCCACCTCCGGAATTGGCACCTGCGGCGCTCCGCCAGCTCATTTCCTACCCCCTCCCCACCTGCTGCCTGGCTGCCCACCCGAGCCAAGCCCCGCAGTGCCGCAGGCTGTTCCCAGCGCCCGGGCCGCCTCCTCCCGGCACCGCTCGGCCTTTTTTTCCCCCCTCACACAGGGGACACGGAGCCTCCGAGGGTCTCCGGTAAAGCGAGCGGGTGCGGAGGAGAAACCGCTGCCCCCTCACCGCCCTGAGGGAGCGCGCGCCGCCCGCCCGCCCGCCRCTCACCTCCACGCTCTGCTCGTCCATGGCTGCGGCTCCGCCGGCGGCGGGAGCAGGGACGGCTGTCCCCGGCTTCTCTCTCCGTGCCCGGGGATAAAGGAGCGGAGGCTCCGGGAGCAGGATTTTCAGGAGAGGGCTCCGCTCTCCGGCCCCGGCCCCGCGCACCCGCCGGGCCGTGACCGCGGCAGMGCGGCCGCCCCGCCCCGCCTGCGCTGCGCATGCGCGGGACCGCCCGCAGGGGGCGTGGCCTCGCCAGGGGCGCGCGGGAGGAGCGGCAACGCCTGAGGGGAACGGCGCGGGGAGAGCCTCGCGCTTCGGTTTTGCTTCATTTTTCTCTATTTCTCTCTATTTTTCTTTATATTTCTTTTTTTTTTTCTTTTCATTCTTCTTTACCAGAGATGTTTCAGTTGAGAGAATGGGTTTCCGCACCCCGCTGACAGCTATCTTCAATTACTGTCGCCAGCGTTCGCTAATAAATTMTTTAACGCTGCTGACGGTAGTGGTAGAACAAGGATAGAGTCCTCTGCTGGAAGCAGATCAATGTGATTAAAAACTACTAAATCAGTTTGTGAAACTGGTTAATTGCTTGAAACTGATTAGTTACTCGTAGGTAAAAGGGCACATTTGGCAGCAGACATCATAAAATTAAGTTGTCCCTGTCATTTCCTCTCGAATACCCAGCCTATTCCCACCAAACCCTAAAGCAGTTCGTGGATGAGTTCAGAAATCAACCTTTCCCTCCCTAAGAGCACTAGTTTAACTTTCTCTAGACAGACATAATTTTTCACAAAAGAATGGGAACGTAACAAAACTTCAGGTATCTTATTCTCTCAAATTAGGCTGAAATATAAAAATATAAATGTAAAGAAGAAGCAGAGGCTTGGACTGGATAGAAATCCCTTCTGACCCTGGCTGGACTGAAAAAAACCCAAGTGAGTCCACATCAAAGGAAAATTAAGCGGYTGGTCAGGGTGCAGGGTCAGGAGTCATATAAACAAAGAATAAATCTTTATTCAGGAATGCAAGTACAATTAAGAAGCTTGGAGTATTTGCCTTTTAAACCCCCTCAGGAATGCAGCAARGAAATGGAAATGTCACATGGCCCACAACATTCCTCAAAAATGCATCGACCATAATCCTTTAAAMGGCCAAGGTAAATGCCAACCTCAATCTTTTTGAACTCTCTGAYTTCAAGTATTATCAACAGAATTTGTGCACAGAAACATTAACAAMTTCCCAGCAGCGGACTTGGAACTCTTCTTCCAGAGAAATCCTTGTTCTTTACCAACCCAGGAGCTGTGACCGAGATGTTTCTGTGAAAGATGAGCTTTCATTCACTCAGCTAATTTAACATTTCCTTGTTTGTCGAGTTCCACAATCCCCARCTCTTTCAGGATTTGAATTCTTGAGTCAGTGGCTTTCATATTCATCTTGTTCATCTGTGAAACACTCAATGCTTCTCTGTAASACAGAAACAATTTAAAATGTAAAACAGGGATCAAACATCAGGTCTGTCAGAAAAAGACTAAAAAGCATATGCTGTTTAATCAATTATTTTTGTCAGTGTTCTGTAAATCTAAAGTTTATTCAGATTGCCATCAACTTTTTTATGCTACTTCAAATCACAAGCAGTCATTTGCAAATCTTAGGGTTAAACAGACAGAATTCTTAAATTAAAAACATCCTTATTTGTACCATCAGCCTGTAAGAAATGCTTGGCACTCAATCCAGAGAGGGGTTAGGAGAGGTTGGTGAGGGGAGGGCAGATTTTGGGAGCCATGGTTTGGTGTCAGTGCTTTTTGAAGTTAAAATATGGCAGTGAATSCTTAACTGGCTGGTTTTGTTCAACTTGAAAAGGCTGAATTTCTTCACAGTTTTTAYAAAATTCATTTTAATGAATGGCTTTAAGTCTTACCTGTTCTTCTSTACAATGAAGTGGTTAAATAACCCCTTGTACAAAAAGTTCAAGTCWGCTAATTTGACAGTGCTTCTGATGCTCCTTGGCACGCTCATAAAYGTTTCCTCAGTCAGTGGCTTGAATTGAGGTTCTAAAATTTGAAAATAGAAGATATTTGTTAAAAAACTGGAAATGGAAAGTATTTATTTCTTCAGAAATTGGGTCAAAGATGGAAAGTACTTCCATCAGTATTTAATAATCTCACTAAGTGGGATTAACGGTGGATTTTCCAGCAAGAGAGAGAAGAAACTGTATCTGGAGACTCAATAAAAAAAAAAATAATATAATTTGAGATCTGATGAGGACTGACAAATTTTGTCTGTCAAAAATTACTAGCTAATTTGGATTTTGCTTTTCTAAAAAAAAAAAACAAAACACACAAGGAAAATTCCTTTCTATAAGCAGGGAATAATGGATTTTAAAAGAGTTATTTCTATGGTTAGATCAGTGCACCATTTCTTCCAGAGCATAAACACAGAAGTTTTGCACTTCAATCCCTTTAAAAGCAAGAAAAAAAATTCCCAGAAACATGGTAACTATTCCTGGAATGTAACTAAGGGCTCAGGTCCTTATGGTAAAGTCTAAATTCCTCACATAAAAGCAGTAGATACTGGTGCTTGAGAGTGAAAACAGTGAATTTACTGCCTATCACAGGCTCTTTGAGAAGAAAACAGTGGGAAGTTTATTTTTTCAGCATTTACCTTCAGCTGAGCCAGGGACTGTAGATCCTGGACRGGATGGCTAAAAATAATCAGGGGATAATGTCACTGTTTGTTAGTATTTTGCCCAGAAATATTTTTTTTATATTTTCATTTCTGCATGAAATTTACATTAATTACATTTTACCATTGGATCTTGCAGCCACTGAAGTCAGCAGCAAAATCTTAAGAGATTAAACACAGTTTAAAATAAATTCAGTTTAAAATGGATTCAGAAAGATTTATATGCAAGTCAGATGAGCCTCTCCAGCTTTCCAGTATGGATGTGAAAACACTGCACATTATTTAGAATTAATAATGGACATAAATTGAGAACATTTATCAAGAGAGGAGCAGATATCTGCAAACAAAGAGTGAGTGAAGCTGCAGGAGCTGGACAGGTTTCATGCAAACCAACCATGGTAATAAAGGGACAGAAAATGGCATGTTCTGTGACAGTGGGCAGAGAGAARAAGTAGAAAAATATAAGGTCAATCAGATAAACACCCTCTATTAACCTTCTTTAATATTTTTTAATATGAGACCTAGACCAAATATTTGCAGATAATTACATTGGATAATCACATATTGAGCTATGGGAGAATATCTGACTTTTTAACAAATATTAATTTAGCTCTAAGTTCTACTGCATTGCAGTTAGAACAGACTGTTACTCATATCCCAAAAATTATTTAATATTTTACAGGAAATTAAATTYCTCTCTACTTGGAGATACATTGGTTTGAATCAATGACAATCCTCACTCCCACCAAATGCTTCTTATCAACAAGATCAACAAGAGCAACCAACTGCATCTCTGACAAGAAACATAAAYATATCCCAATTAAAAACTAACAGGAACAAAGTCTCCCATCAAAGCTAATTTTTCCTTTGTGGATAATCGAATTGGAACAATTAAAAAAAGCTTAATTTGTACAAAACAAAAATGAAAAGGTTCGTTAAGAAACTTAATCCCATTTCTGAAAAAATTCATTCATTTGAGAGGTATTAAATCACAAAAGCAGCTCCTTCTGCATTCAGCTGAGCTGCAGTAAGGATTAAAGGTTTCTGGAATATTGACATTCCGTGCCCTAATTACCTCTTCCACTGGCAATTCCACTTCTTTCCCAGTTTGGAAGTTTAACTGCTGAGCTGCAGTCTGTTCTTCTGCTGACAGAGGTAAGCTCTGGGAAAAAAAAAAAATAAAAGCAAACACAGAGAAGTCTGATACTTCAGTTCCTGAGGTGATGATATTTACAGAAGGACTCAATGTTTGTGCAGCCTTTCGCTCACAGAAACTGACAGTGGACTCCTAATTTCCTTCCACTGAGAGCAAATGTACAAGCAAAGTATTTCTGAAAAATCAACCTTMATCTTCTTCTAGCATCAATACTATAAATTAATCAAGTAAGATAAATTTTTCAATTAAAAAAGGGTATTTCATTTAAAGAGTTACATTTCTCCACAACAGTTTAATCCATCTTTGGTTTAGGAAATATAAAAAGTACAAGAAAATCTTTATCTAAAGCTCTACACATAATTCAAGAAAAGTCTTCCACTTTAAGAAAATGCCAAGTACAAAATTATTCTTGGCAGAATATCCTTGAAACACAGTGAGATATATTTTCCTTTCTGTGACATACAACTACTGTCTTAAATGCTGAGACAGCCCATTTTGTCTATAAAAGGTCACCAGTAACTTGTCTAGAGTTTTGACAGATTAAACCAATCTCCAGGCACTGTCATTAGAACATTGATCATAATCACCTTATTTGTAAAGGGACAAAATTAATGCTTTCACAACCTCTTCAATAATGAAGCAGTGTCTGAAGACCACTTAAGAAATGTCGTTTAACAACACTAGGTTTTTTAACAATTTAAACATTGTCTTAGGAAAAATGCAGGACTTTGGAGTAACAGCAATCCCAGGGCGTTTTTGTTACAATGGTTTTTAACTTTCTCCCTTCAGGCAGTGAAAATATATTTGTCATTTAAAAGCTTTTTAGCCTTTTAAAACTGATTTCTATTTTCCTTAAGGTGTCTACTTCTAAAAACTGTCAGCATGGCCCTGGGACACAGCAGCACACAGAGGTGTTGATTCCTACAGAGTTACCCAAACTGTGTCACTGAATTCACCCTCCTCAGGTATTACTCCAGCTCCAAACCTCAACACCACTGGTTTTAACTGCTGGGGATTGGGATTTACACAAAGAGCTCCAATCCTGCAAGCATTCCTTCTGGGAAAGGATCTCCTCAACTTCTAGCAACAGTTTCCAGTGGAATTACACAAAGGTTACAAAGTTCATGTTCATTCCCAGCAGTGAAAACAAAAGTGATGAAAATGAAAATACCACCTCCAGCTCAGTTTGCTGCTGTAATGCCTGAACGATCTTCATTGTTTTCTCCAGGGCAGCACGGATGCTCTTCATGGATTCCTTCTGTTCCATGGAAATTTCTTCCATCTGCACACACAGGGATTTGTAACGGGATTTCAGCACCGGGAGCTCTTTCAGGAGAGCAACTGGATTCTCCTGTGTAAGTAAAAGCACATTTAAAATATTTAAGATGATAAAATAAGTGGCCACATACCAGTTAGAAGTGCATGTGCTCAAGATACCAAAATATAACATGAACTGACCCTTTACAATGAAAATGTACAGGAGAAAAGGACTTATTTATAAAATCCTTTACATGATATAATTTCTTGTTTTCCTCTCATCTCTCCCCAAAATCTGAATTAAGTCATTGCTTGTTGGCAAGTTTATCTTGGATCTCAGAGTAAGGCTGAGTTTTAGCTCAGACTGGAATCTATAACTTGAATTTAGGTGTTGACACACTAATTTTTCAGAGCAGAACATGGGGAGAATTTCACTATAACAGGAAACAAAGGGAGTTTTGAACTCATATTAGGCCACTCATCCTGACAGATGATGCAGGAAGTACTTAATAATAGTAATAATAATAATAATAATAATAATAATAATAATAATAATAATAATAATAGTAACAAAAGCCAGACAATAGATGAAAGAACATCCACACGTATTTCAAGTTTAAAGAAAAATACCCATTTATTACCAACTTCATGCAATAAAATGGAATTAAATCTGAAAATACTACCTCTGCTGCTGTATTATCAGGAAGCATTTTCAGTATTTCAAACTCCACTCTGTGCTGAATATAATCCAGATCAGATTCTGCTTTCTGGAACTGAAATATTTAAGGTTAGGCACAGTKTATTAAAAACCAAACACTGCAGACAAACCCCAACCATTTGCCTTTCCTGTGTTTCAGGAAAGCAGGAGGCAGCTGCCTTCCTTTGAAAGGCTCAGGGACCATTAAAGTTTTCAAATTTTTTTTTTTTTCAAATATTAAAGAGTTCTCTTAGCAAAACCACAACACTCATGGTTATTTACACAGAGGAGTAAATATGTATATTTATAAGTAAATTCAGGATCCAAGAGAACCATCAGAGCTTTTATTAATAATCATATTAGGGGATGTGTTCTTTCAGATGGTTTTAATACYCACAATACATTTTATTATTCTCCAATAAAGCAGAACTGACTAACAGCTCATAAAATTGATGACATCACTTTTCTTTCCTTGGGATAAATAAGCCACCAGAGAATTGTCTAATTGCCTTGTAAAACAGTCTGCTGATAGCATTATTACTTAATTAATTTTAGTCTGCAATTTTAATATCTATTAAAGACTTCCACTTTCAAGAAAGGCAGTTTCCCCAGCTCCCAAGCAACTCATTAATTCTTAGACATAATAATTCAGTGATTTTACAGTCACAGAAGAGACAATGATGAGAGCAAGTTAAAAATGGTTGTGACTTCCTTTACTTGGTTTTCACTATTTCTACTGAGATTAACCCCAAAGTGACCATCCCAATTTTTTTTTAAGGATCAAAGTAASGCTGTATTTGTTACAGGCAGTGTTATAATGGCACCTGAAGTGACAAATATCCACAGTCTGGGATTCCAAAGGGATATTTATGTTTTAAACATCAGCCTTGGGATGCACCTTAAAGAATGGCCATTAATGCCTTTGAGGATCTGGAAATTCAGCCTGAAGGAAAAGGGTTTGATCCAGAATACTCTCCAATAAAAGCCTCTTTCTGAGGGACTGAAGATGGATGATGTTTCACACACCTCCAGTACATTTTCAAATAATAGCTTAAGAAAAGGAAAATAAATCTAGTGAAGAGCTTGAGCATCTATAAATCAAGRGGAAAGCTTTCAACCAGTGCTGCCATAATTCACCATCTGCCCAACAAAACTCCTTCCCACACCTGCCCCAGAAACCAGCCAGGACAAAATCCAAGAATAAAATACTTTTCAGTACATTTTTAAAGAGTYCAGGAGGGATTTCTTCCTTAACTGCTCAATGGCTTCTCTCCTCTTCCACTAACAAACATTTGTAGGTTTTCATTTTCACAGGCAGGCACCCCAAAAATTTCCTTTCCTCCAGCTCCTCCATTTGATCAGACAATGAATATGGGCTGCTTTCAAAATTACCCATTAAATATTCAATACTGATAATTTGAGACKTCCATAAGGAGCTAACTAACCCCATACTATGAGTCAGGACATTAAAAACAGCATGTGAAGCCAAATGTGGCTAGAATTTTCAGATTTGTGACAAGATTAACACAGTTCAGCAGGACTGCTTCCATTTCATAAATATTTATTTCTCGCTGCRTTTCAGGAAACATCCATCTGCAAAAACCTCCCTTTAAATGTTCTAGGTCAGAAGCATTTGCAGGATGATTATTTTACAACAACCACGTAGAAAATGCAGGGTTTGAAGTGTAAATTTGTAATTTACTCACAGGCTTGGAAGAAAAGTGTTAGAAATTGAGGCAAGAGTGAGGCCAGTGCTGAGGGCTCTGCTCTCAGATGCTTTGACAATACTATTGCACTGCTCTCTGTATAGTACAGTAGTGCAATAAAGTCAGAGCACTCGTTAGCAGCAACAATTCTGGGCAAGAATCAATCATACACTCACCAAAAAAAGGGAAAAAAACACAACAACACAGCCAGAGGTTTCTGTGGATCGTGAAGAGTTGGATAAGGTTAAAGCTCACCAAGTCCTGACACACACATACACAAGAACTCACATTATAATTGTTCATAATAGGTCAATTCTCTGACCAAAAGGTGGGGAAAAACCCAACCACCCAACAAAAAGCACAACAGATCAGCCAGAAATTCCACTTCAAACTATTGGGTGCTTTTTAAACTGGAAACTCCATTGCCAAGTGTATTTATTGCTTTGATTTGCCTCACAGCAAGCAGAGATTCTAAACTGCTATCAGACAAATGTTCTTACACTGCATTACAGGGAATATCTTCTAGACAGCAGAGTTTGCTCTTTATAATCTGCAGGTGCTGAATTAAATCAATTTGCACTTAAACACTCTTTTCCCAACTCTGGGGATGTCCTTTACCACTGGGGTGTGAGAGCACCATCACAGGGGGGTGTATTCCATAAATCTCAACAAAGGTGGAGCTTTTAAACATAACAATAAAATCATGCTGAAAGTTTGAGAACTCTCRGGGTTTAAAGGCACTGAGATCCTTAAAAAAACCACAAAGAAARCTGGGAATGGAGTGGAGAGAGAGGGATGTTTGCTGATGTACACAGAGCTGAGTCACCTGCACCATTTCTAAAGAAAGACACAGAGATGATGGCATTTGTCATGAAATGACCAGTCAATGTTTCTCCTTGGCAAATAGGTAGAAGACAATGAGTAATAMAAATCAAATTAGTAGTAATCTCATTTTACAGCTGCTTTGCAAATCGCCTTCTGGTCTCAGTGATTTTGGACAAAAGAAGAATAAAAAATAACGTAGATTGTATTGCTGGCCAATGCCCTTTTAACATTGCACTGCTTTTTGTGCATCATCACCAGTAGTACAACATAAAAAGGGCACTGGACAGACACCACTCAGGGCCAGAGGAGGTCCAGTGTACCAAAACCAGTGACAGAAAGGAACTGAATTGCTCTGAATGAAGCACTTGCAGCTCATCTAACAGTTTATCCATTTGTTATCCGATTTTATCAAATAAATGTCCACAAAATTTTCCCTCAGTACAGACTGGGCRTTAAAAGTGAATGAAATGATTGTGCACAAGGATGCCCTGTGTGTTCATTACAGGTCTGACTGTGCCTCTTGAAGCTGCTAAAGAGATTCCCAAATCCCAGCTGACTCCAAGGAATTTGTCTGAAATACACCCAGTGTTCATGGAATCRTGGAATGGTTTGKTTTGGGCTCATCCSATTCCACCCCTGCCATGGGCAGGGACAACTTCCACTATCCCAGTTTGCTCCAAGCCCCATCCAGCCTGGCCTTGACCTATTGTTAATTAAAACTTAGATTTATGATCTTTTCCGTAATTAATCTAACACTGCAGATGTTACAGYGCTCCCGTCACAAATAAGCATTGATTACCTGGTATTTTCATACCCATTGTTCCCCTTAAGCTCCCACTAATTACTTTATCCCTGCTTCCATGAGACTAAAAGGAAGCTTTCCATGAAATTCATGTCAAAACCTCCGGGGAAATAAGAAGTGTCATTTTATCACACTTCTGTGGAGAGAGCTGACTTCACAGGAAATCCAGGACGAGGAAACAACAAAGCAGAAGGAAAATGCAAGAGACACAAAGCTGTGAGATGTGAGATTTTTYTGAATTCCAGAATAAAAGCCCCTGCTAAAGGGGGCAAAACCACCTCTCTTTTTACATGTCCTAAAATAAGAACCACTTGAAAGTATTGCTTTCAATAAAACACAGAAATAAACCATTACAACAAATAAATAGAACATCTAGCCCAAGTATCTCTAAATGTATTTCTAAAYTAAGCTAGCCTTAAGAAACCCCAAAAAACCAATTAATAGGGAGATTAGAATTAACACTATGGGCAAAAATGTAAAAAAGATTATACAGGAGCAAGATGAAGGTTTGAGAGATGGCACAAGGAACTTGGCTGGTTGGACACAGCATTCCAATGCCTCTTCAATTGGAGGAAATACAGCACAGCTCTTTTTTTGGAGGTTAATTTTTGCCTTTTTTTCACTTTTCCAGGAGTGGGGCAGGCAGAGAGGCGACTATCATATAAGGCACAGCCCCGCCGTGCTTCGGGGGCTGCCTCAGAGCACTGGAAAGGAGCGAAAKGCTGGAAAACTACGGGAATTTGGGGCTCAGGAAGGGAGGGCCGAGGGGGGCATCGCCCCGCTCCCCCCGCACGCCCGCGCCAATGGACCAGCCCAGCCCGCCTCTCCCCCCCGCAGCGAAAATGGTCCAGCCCAGGTGAGCGCTCCACCCTCGCCCCCCGCTGGGAGAAAATGGACTCGTCCGAGCGCTCCACTCTGCCCCGCGCCCCCCCTCCCGCCGCGGRGACATGGACCGGCCCGGCCCGGCCGCGTCCCCCCGCAAGGCGGGCAATGAGCGCGCCCACCCCCACCGCCCCCCCCCAGGTGCGCGGGAAATGGCCGCGCCCTGCCCCGCGCCGAGGGGTGAATGGAGCGGCGCAAGCCCCGCCCCTCGGGGGGGGGCGGTGGAATGGACCGGCCCGGCCGAACCCGCCTGACCCGGACGCGGCCGGCGGGCGCCTCGTCGAGGGCGGCGCGGGCCGCGCTCAGGGCCCGGATGGGGAACGCGGGCGCGGCTGAGCGGCCGCTCTTCCGTCGCGCCGC